GAATAGTTTGAGGAATATGTACGGCCAAGAAATAGATATCTAAATTTGCATAATAGCAAACATTTGCCATCTATCTCAAGTGTTGCTTTCAAGTATTGCAAGCGACTGAATTATTACTTAAAAAAGCATCTCGCGCAATATTTGCTTGAATGTGTCAAAAAAGTAATCCCAGTAGTTTCCCATATCCATATGGATTGTCAAATCGTCATGGAAGACTCTATATAATTCTTTTTATACTCGAACCACCACTAAGGCCTAAAGCCTAAATACCCATGGGTACCATGAGGATTTAGGAGGATACAGCAGAAAGTAGGAACTCTAGCGAGGGAACACGTATGCATGCAACATGTACTCATTCTTGCCCCGCCTTAGAGATCCGCTGGGTGGTACCTCCGCGGTCGACAGTCAAAGACTACCACCTACAAAATGAAATGTTCCCGCGCTTCCGGTTTGGGCTGGGGCGTCCTTGTATGAGACTATTTTGTCCCCTGCCGATTTTCGAACTATTGCTTTGTTTTTGAGATATAAGTCCCTAAAGAACGTCACTGGAAATTGGTTTTCCTTAAATAACTTGAACTTAGCCAGATTAACGCATGCCCCAGGTGATGATGTATACAGAAATGATTAACCCCTTTCAAGAATGGACTAGCCCCAACCCAAGGTACGTACAAATATATATTATAATATTTTTGGAAACCATGATACTTTACCAAAAAAAGTATATTCCTGTTTATCGATAAATTGAGCCGTTTTTGAAAAACAGTCTTGTTGCGATACTGCTTCCAACAATTTAAGTAGGTACGCGTGCCCAATCTCTAGAAAGTTGTACGAACGCCGTAAAATCCTGTTGTAATTTTTGAAAATTCATATGCAGGAGTTTTTCGATTTACTGCTTTCGAATATGTTATCAAAATTACAATTTTTCAAAATGACCCAAACCAGTATATCGGCATCTGTACCAAAATCGATGTCAGTAGAAAATATCATTTTTGAGCTATTTACAGGTATGAAAAAGAAATGTTAGGGCTAATTCGTCCTTAAAGTTATAAGAACAGCTGAAGCAAGGCAAGTTATTCCAGGTAAACAGAAAAGTCCCTAGGTAGGCCCTAAAATTATCAGATTTCGTTGTTTTGTATATCAGGTCAGACCGCAAATTAAACATAGCAATAGAGTTTGAAAGACTGAGAAGAAGAAAAATAAATCGAGCAGTGAACAATTTACAGACAAATCAGGATTTGCCTACAAAACGCGGAGAAAATATTGAACATATGCCATGATTTACCTCAGTTTCTTTGTAATCCTGTATAAGCTGAGTTTGAATTTTTAAACGTCTTCTTATCTGATTAATAGAACGCTGAGCGTTACCATTTCAAGTGGTGAATATCCTAAATGAGTAAGTACAATTACTACGCGATGTCTCATCTCAAAACAAACCTCCAAACCCGTAACCTCCCTTGTAAGGAGAACCAACTTTCAGTGTCTAGAATAGACCGAAGAATCATCTCTTGAATATTTCCCTAATGTAATAGAAGGACCCTGTAGGGTCTTTCGAGAGAAGCCAGTTAACAATTACATTTTAGTTGCGATGTTAACCATTCGCGCACTCTGAGGAGAAGCGATGCGAAGCGGGCCGCGGGGACAGTTGTCATTTGCACACATCAAATGTGTCACAGTTGTCGCAAACCCTTCACGTCGCTCCAGTGTGCGGATTGAGATTAGATTATTGTGTAACAGAACCCAGTTTCACTTCTCTCCTCGTGGTTTCCCTTCCCCTCCATATGCCTGCACCTTAAGTACGTTACCATTTAAACAAGTTGCATACACATGTACCGGGCTTGTGTGGATGAATTTGGTGCCAATGCATGTACCTGTAAATGGCGCTCAAACTTGACTCATGCTGCGCGCCTGCTCAGTTTCTTCCAAATTCTCTTTTTTAAAACATTTCAGATACTTCGTTTCGCTGAAATCGCATTTGGACATACATGTAAAGGAGGTCTACATTTTTTTGGAACTTATATCGATTTGAGCCCTCGGCTAATGTTTTACCACAAAACGATTAGTTTATACCGTTTTCTCGTCACAGAAAAGTCGATCATATACGCCCCCCTAAACGTACAGGCTTACCTTTTCTTCAATCAAAAGGAGCACATAGTTAACGCCCTCCCAGGTCTTCAACTAATACCAACGGGCTGGGTAGGCAAGTGCACTCACTCCCTTCCCTTCCCCCACGTTACACTTTCTACATCCGTATTTCAATATCTACCGTTTTTCTGGACAGAAGCTGTTGATATGGTAAGTTAAATCCATCTATACACATTGCAGAACGTTACGCGAGTTCCTCGCATCTAGGCTGAGGTATTAATGTCTTTGATTGAGTCTAGAATATCTAAGTACATAAAAAGCTGACGGAATCGGTAAGTACCTACCGCTAAGAAGCAGAATAGCATTGTTGGATTAATTTCCATAATAAAACTGGTATCTCAGATCTCTCACTTTTTCTCTCAAAAAGTATCAGGACATAAAATACGGGACAGCTACTGTCAATACCCTAAACAGGGCAATGTTTATTTAGGAACTACTCGTGTTAGTTTACTTCTTACGCCACTGGACGAGGAAATACTGTGATACCGAAAAATTTCGAAAATGATGTGTTTTTTGGATGTTATATGACAAGTACATCACGAAAAAACATTGTCACTCATTTCTGTCGGTCTGTCTATCTGTCTGTCTGTTATGTCAGCTAATCCTTGCCCGTTGTCAATAACTTGGATATAAGTAGATACTGCTCGGATTTGGAGGAATTTTTACACAAGGTTACTTCCATGTCAAGGACGAATAAGCTTTGTAGTTTTTGGAAATCGGCCTAGTAGCGGTGGATAAAAAGGCCAAAAATGAAAAAAAAAACAAAAGTCGCCCAAACAGGATCCTAATCATTTTTGGAAAAATATTTAGGGATGAAAAACTAATTGGTGGCGGTGGTAGGGGGTTGTGAAGATATATCTCAATATTTTTATACTAGTATATTTATACGCTCCCAGCCCCGGTAATTCTGCGCACCCATTATCCGTATTTCACACATCATAGGTTTCCCCATACATTTGCCGTTGAAACTTAGAATGATAAATGTTTTCGTTATGCTTCTGCTTCTGCTATCTGGGCTCAGTGCCCGGTGAACGATCTACTTGATTGTTCTGCTCGTACCTACTGTGGAGGTGCTTCGTTGGAACGTTTCTAGTTCTAGATGGACGGTATCTACCGGTAGGCAGGGGAAAATGTATATAGGCTAATTGTGTGGGCCTGTTTGACTGACTTGATCGGTTTAATTTTATATATTGTACCTGTTCGTATTTTTTTCTCATAGGGCTTATGAACTGATTTGCGGTGATGCGTAGAAAGTGCGGAGTCAACCTACTCGTCATCATTTTTGTGATCCGCTTCGCCTTACAAATATTGTCACGTTGTCTGAAACACCCTGTATAAATATGTCGATGAATTCCTATAGACAACCAATTTCCAATTATTTGTTACGTTATTAGATGTAGAGAAGTGATCCTGTAGATAATAATTATTCCAGACAATATAGGCAGTTCTGTTAAAATTAAAAATCCAATTCAAGCGGATAAGCAAATGAAAATGGTATTTACCATTTTGGATTGGTATTTACCGATCCGTTCAAGCGAGTGTGGTTATCAGTTTGGTTATACGATCCGTGACGTCATGAATCAGCTGTTATATGTCATAGTTATCACCGCAAAATTGTGGTACTTACCCAACTCAGGAGTAGTTTTATATTTCTGGTTATTATTTGACATGTGGCAAGTTAGAATTTTGCCGGGTATTGGATATTTTTATTGTAGTTCAGCTTCATTTTTGGGAAACTTAATACAGGCTGACTTCAGTGTTAGCATAAGAGAGCAGCTTATTATTTATAATCATTACTGTTGTTGGGGACACTTTGAATCTAGTTCCTACGCTTAACAAAGTATCCTGTATAGCCATATACCACAAGAATATTAAAATGTGGCCATATAAACTTACTGAATAATGTCCACCTATACAGGGTGACTTTGAAGTTGAGTCATTAATTTTCAGATAATGATTGTAGAAGGAAGATAAACCAAAATATGTGTGTAAAAATAAAAAAAAAATAAAAAAAAATTTTTACCTTGTTTTATAAAGTATCCTCCCGACAAGTATTTCAGTTCAGTGCGGACCTGTATTTGATCGTGAGGTCCCCTGTGAAGTCTTAAGTCACCTGATTCACGAGCCCGTTGTACTACATTAACAAAGGCACGAGGGGTTGGTTGCACTCGATTGGGAAACCGATCCGCATAAACATGTGCCATTTTTGATTTCGTTTGAGCCACGCAACAAACACTACTATTCACTAAAGCGTTATCGATAGACTGACGAAAAACATCGTGATAAACGTTTCAAATTCTTTCGCTTTTTTGTTTCCGATGCGATGAACCGGTCAGGCGGATTATATCCGTTGTCGCCAAACACGAACATCTTATTATTGAGACAGGGCAGTACTCAAACTTCCAAAGGGCTATAACTTTGTTACTTTAATTTTACCAGAAAAATGGTAAAGGAAAAAAACATTTCTTTTGATCAGATCTACTCACTGTTAAAATAAATGACTCAACTTCGAAGTCACCCTGTATACGGTCTTGTTTATCGTTTTTTCATCATTTTTGCTAAATCAATAAACATTTTCTTTGACATGCGGAAAAGTTTAGAGAATTGAAAGTTATCATAGCCAAAAAGCCATAGTTTCATCAATAAAAAAAAATTCTGAAAAAAAAAACATTCCTCCCATTAATATTATGAAAGTTTTCTTTTTTTCAAGTTTCCTTACCCCGTTGTAGACGAAAAAGCACCGATTATTAAGTGATAATACAAATAATCAGAAATTATATACGCGCTTTTCTAAAATAAACAACTTGCAACAAACCGCGGTTAAAACCAACGCGTTCAAGCGATTCGAGTAACTGACGTCATCATCCCGTGTGTCATCTTGAACCATATTATAACCGCGGTACATAATACGGAAATTTTGTTTATTCGCTTGGATTTGATTATAGTTCCTAATTGAACTTGAAAACAACTTCTAAGGAAAATACTAGGTTTATTTTTGTATAGGTGTTTTCAATGAATAAAACGTAATTTAAAAGTTGCTGTCGAGTAGTCGAGTAGATCAATGAAAAGATGATGAAAATAGATTTTATTTTAGACATGACAGATGATAGCTGAGCCGCTTTCCAGTGCTTTTGAATTGAGACTTGTATGCACGGGAGTGTGACGCTCCCGAACTGTTCTTTCAAATGTGCACGGGAACGCGACGATAAGCAATGAAAATGTAAAAAACACGTTTTGCCTTTATTTTCAGAAGCATTATCAGACTATTCAGTTGATGCTTGATGATGCTTTAAGAATGATGGCGTAACACTTCGGACATCTGCATTTTTATTGTAAAGCTTCTGGATAAATGTGTCGAATTCATATTTTAGTGTAGACATTAAAAATTATTTTCAAAGTGTCTCGCTATAGATGAAACCAACTATACCCTATTTCACGAGTATCCATCACGGTATAATGACAGCTGATTATCTAGTAATATCTCAAAATTCTTCATACCGGCACAGGACACATAATTCTGACGGATCCGTCAACGTCAGGTAGACATAGTCGTATTTTGTTTTGTTTTTTTTTTGTACGCTACATATTCATTTTGTACTCTTTTGTTCAGAAAAGTTCATTTGCATACAAAAAACAAAACGCTACAAACAAGTTTTACTAGAACTGCACCCGATTCATTATTGCCAACGTGGCAGACTAACACGAAAATGTCACTTGCTGATCAGACGTCAAAGAGTGATGGATACTCGTGAAATAGGGTATATACAGGCAGCTATAAACCTGCATTCTCTTGTGATTTTTATTATTCAGGAACATCTCAAATGTACGTTGTGACTCTGGGTCATAACATTATCAGTTTTTTTACCATCATCCACTGTCTGGTATTGGCTTAATGTGAGTTTAATGCAACAAACAAATACGGTGAAAAACATAACATAAAAATCTTGAAACATTGTCATTTTCGTTATCCCCGCTATATCGGGGCGTATAACACCGAACAAAAAGCTGGTGCATGAGGGGGCAGGGATTTCAGAAATGAGTAGCTCAGGTCCTCAGGTGCATGATACTCTAGACTAGAGCACTGGAATGGTATTGACAGGATGACAGGTGGTAGCTCCGACTTCCGAGTAACACAAATGAGGCACTGGAAAGCGGCTCTGGACATCATGACAATAATGTGATGACAACCACAAAACATGACAACACCGCAGTGTTTATCATTACTTTATTACTTATCATTTTTAAACTTTCACCCTTCAACATTTCAATAATCACCTTCAATTTTTGTACTGTTACCAAGATCAACAGGTTGCTGACTCTATTGTCAGTAATATTTTATGTTTAAGTAAAAAATACCGAAATGGTTGACGTTGTGGTGTTGAATACCAAAGAACAAGTAATATCCAAGTTATGTGAGGTTATAGAATCCTCGGCCAACGAAAACATAGAGATAAATGGAGTTTTCAATATTGGTTTTTCCGGTAAGAAATTACTCATTCCCTAAGTGATTTTATATAGCAAAGGAATGATCGCAAACGAAACGCTCTAAACTCCTAAACTACAGTGGTATAATTTGTGCTCCGAATTTCAAAAAGTCGTAGAAACCACTAATTTTGACAAACTACTTTGGACTTGCTGTAAAAGCAATAATAATTGATAATTATGTTTTGTTTGTCAGGGGGATCTCTTGTATCATTCCTAGCTACAGGGCTACCGAACATAAAGACTGACTTTAGCAAATGGAGAATATTCTTCTGTGATGAACGGGTAGTCCCAGAAGATGACCCGGACTCTACTTATGGAAGTTACAAGAAAAATCTGTTAGACAGTGGAAAAGTCAGTTTGAATCTTGAGCAGTTTATCACAATCAAGCAAGGTGTGGCTGCTGATGAGGCTGCTGTCGATTATGCACAGAAGATACTGAGATGTTTCCCTGGAGTTGCTGATGTTCCTGTTTTTGATATGTTGCTATTAGGTATGATGAGTGTATTTACATATTTAGGAAATTACAGCACTGTAGCACTTTATTTTAGCAGCTATTAAAATCACATGGATAATAAGCACAGCAGTTAAGACTGCTTGATTTGCAGATCTGCTGAGTGCAAGAGCCTTTTGAGACTGTTGAGTGTTTTTCTTACCATAGCAAATTACCACTTATCAAACAGCAGATTTCTGTTGTTTTCAATAATTATTCAGCTGTTTAGTTTAGACTCTAATTAAGATGAATAACAATAATACTAGGACTACCTGATACCCACATTTTGGTTGTAATGACTGAAGGAAACCTTACTGTAGATGACAATATGGTTTTATTACAAAACATGGGGGTATCACTACTTTATTACATGTAGATACCTAAACTGAACATCTTATGTATAAGCAATTATGGTATGTCTTATGGATGTACCTTTTAAGATATCTTATGTATGTATGTTTATGACTTACAAATATACCTAGTGTAATGTGATGTGTTATTGTCCGTTTGTACTGTTTCATCTATTTTCATTTTGGTGGTTCTTAGCTGTAGTCTAGCAATGATTTTTAAATGGTTTGCAACTGTTAAATTCAGTTGACCAAACAAAATGTCACTCAGCTCTAAGCATCAAAATAATTTAGCTAACTGTTGCCTACTGTCCACAACCATCAGACATTAAAACAATATCCATTTTACACTTCGCAAGATGCAAGAAACATCATAATTAGAAGCATGCGTAACCAAAAAACAGCTGATTCTTTTTATCATTTTCTTGCAACTGCCAGGTCTTGCATGAAAGTCAGTCAATTGTAGACAATCTTGTAATAAAAATCCAATTGATTGACCAAGACCCTGCAAGGCAATAGCAAAAAGAATCAGCTGTATTGTTGGTGCATATGCGTCTTATTAAGATTTCTCTTGCATCTGTAAACTCAACCGACCTTCAATCAATTTTTTACCACAAAATGGTCTTTGATATAGTGTCCAAATAGGTATTTCATGATTTTATTTTTAAATCAAGTCAACAATTTTGGAAAAATATGTTCATATCATCTGAATGAAGGAGTACAAGAGTTATGGAAAATAATATTGATGATAGGCCTTCCTTAGAGTACCATTCTTGAAACTAAATTCTTCTGTAACCTTTTGGCGTTGCTTTGGGTTATTGAGTGTCTGCTGATTATCTGAATAGACTTTATACTAGAGAAATTACACAAACAATGTCAGGCGGGGTTAGATTGCATCACGTTGCAAGCCGGCGGGTAACACCATTTCGAGAAATCACGCAGCCATGACAGTGGCCTGTATATGACCATTTTTCTTGCATATGGTATGTGGCAGTATCTAAAGAACAAATGTTATCCAAATAGGGGTCACAAAAAGTTGATATTTATATTGTCTCAATATCAACCTTTACCAATTTACAATCTTATATACACAAAAAAAAGCGTATAGTACATTTGAACATTCCTCCATCAGAAATTGATTCACAATTAAATCCCCATCTTAAGTTCATATTGGGATACCCCATGTATATTTTGCTATTGTTGCAGGTATGGGTCCAGATGGCCATACTTGTTCCCTATTTCCTGGTCATCCACTTTTAGACGAAAAAACTAAATGGATTGCGCCCATAACAGATTCTCCAAAACCACCACCAAGTAGAGTGACAATGACCTTCCCTGTTTTGAATCACGCGAAAATGTGTGTTTTTGCTACTGCTGGCAAAGAAAAAGCTGATATGGTTAGGGTAAGTAATCATTATTAGTTTGTCTTCCACATACGTAGTTACACATATTTGTGTTAGTGCGCGGAGCTCTCAAATACTTGGGCCACGCATTTGCTACTTGGCTCATCCACCACTGGCCACTCTAAAAATGTCGTCGTGTTGTGCCATTACTATATAGGGCGTGAACAAATAGCAAGAGTTCGTTCCTAATGCCATTGTTTTCTTTGGACACCATCATAGGATACCTAGATTTTTTACTATTGTGTTAAAACCTTGTAGAATTATACAGTAAGGTCAAAATGTATTCAAGACACACCTATTCTCAGTAGCATTCATAGGTAATTTTTATATGAATTATTTTTTGAGTTGATATGCTTCACAGAGACTGCCTTCTTGTTCTGGGATACCCTGCATACAGCAAAGAGTCTTTTCCAACTTGCTGCAGCATTCATATCTTTTTCTTAAAGATATCTTTTCCTCCTTCAACCCTAAGATTTTAATTCTACTGTAAAATGCATCCATATGTTTTTTGTGCATGTAGATATTCTGATCAAGTAATCGACGTCTACCAATCTAGATACTTACTAGTCAACCAATCTTCTTTACAGTTCCTTTTTATTTTTTCAACTGGCTTAAGCCCTGTTCATACAGCTGTCGCCAACCTGTCAGTGATCGTGTCCAAGGTCCCGCCACATAAATTCCGTTCATTCTTCTACGCTATTTAGATGAAATTCACACGGCTGGTTCCCAGACATAGTCACCAACAATTCAGAGACTACTGTACGAACAAACTAATAACCGTCCGACTCCTTTATAAGACTTACCTAATAGAGAGTAACACATTTGTCTATTACTGTTAATCGCCGGTCAAACGTTCATGCAGTATTTTCATACCTCATATCCGTAGTTTGACACTATGCAACTGTTTCTTGTTCAATGTCAAAGGAAAGTCTCACCTTTTTTCAAACTGAACCGATTGAATTAATTAGAAAGCTACCATAGTACCCATACGGACGCACGCACGCGAATAGTATTTATATTTGCAAGAAAGTGATGCTTATCAGTTGTACTTCATAAAAAATGACCTCAAGTACGTTGACCCTGCACTTCCTATGCAAAGCTGTATGCTGTATGTATAAGAAGGAACTGAATGGATCATGACAGTCAAACAGGCTTCATAGTCCCCACAGATTTGACAACATTACGATCTAACCTAGCGCTCTACCGACCACCCCGCAACGTGATAACCCAGCACGGTGTTGCATACACGCATCATCATCCGGTTAGCCCTCAGCATTCGAAGCAGCTCGTTGAATCACGCGTATGTCGAAAATGAAAATGTTTTAAGGGCATGTCTAATAGATACGTAGATTAACATGATCAGGATCTTCTGAAACGAAGTTTGAGCGATTTTATTTTTTCCATTTTTTTCCTTTCCCCCACCGCCACTGGTCCGATATCCAAAAGCAAAAGCTTTTTGGTTTTTGGCATGTGTTTACAGTGGTGGTTCTGTAGGAAGTGAAAACGGTTCGTGTCGATGCTGGTCGAATAGATATGTGAGTCATGCATGTATATTTTATATCAATCTTGGCAATATATAAGGAGTTGCATAATTTAATGGTCGGTTGTAATTTTTTATTCATACTTGACTGATCAACGTTTTAGGTGAATACAGGGTGACCCAGTGACAATATCTTTTTGTGGGAAAGTTTGGAGACAGTTTACACAGCAAGACTGATGATACGCGTATTACCTTATGTTTTCATGTGCTGGAATCATGCTTGACGTACATACATCCAGTGCATTTCGAAAAGGTCTCTCCCTACTTATTTTTTGGGCGGATCAAGTTAGCAAGCTGAAATTCGGAGTGATGGAATTAAAAGTAGAATTTGCAAATTTTATGATGGCAACTGGGCACCGTTGTGGAACATTTTTTTAAATGGAATGGGGTTCGTGTGACACCTTATTTTGAAGATCCTTACGTGTTATTTATGCTACTAGAATATAAAATTACCCGCATTCAAAATTACGAACTGACAGGCTATCAAAGTTGAGCGTTTTTGTACATTGAGTCAATATAACTAAACAACCAATCATCAAAACGATATAGATTGTTCTTGAAGGGTCTATCTGAATGTTATAAAATATGAAGCATTCTAGTTAAAAAATATCAAAGTCTGTCCTTTTTTTAAAACCGAATGCCCCATATTTCATTACAAATCCAGATAGACCCTCCAGAAAGAAGAGTATTGATATAACACTATAACATTTTGATGAATGTTCAGCTAGGAAGTTGTCGATGTCGTCGGCTAGTGAAATTAACTTCACCGGTTTATAAGACCGGCAGTAGTCGATGTCGAGCTGTGTTGAGTAAAAAAACTGCAACTCCTAATTTCCCCAGGCTATATCCAGTGGAGTACCTGGGAAGTCAGAGACCTCGCGAAAAGCTTTCAGCCATAAATCGCATAATTTTTCTAGTCTTTGCTACATTTCTGCTCGGTGGCAGTTAAAATTTGGAGGGAGGCTAGTTTGCTAAAAAGTACGCCGCTTACTACACCCTGTGTATCGGTAAAGGGACTTTTTTGGACCAGACTTTATAGGAACTTTTGTTAGTTTTGTATGATTGTAATTTTTTATCACCCTGTATATTGAAGTTTGTTATTTTTACAGAGAATTCTAGTGGAAAAAGAAGACTTACCAGCAGCTCAAGTGAAACCGGTCAATGGGAAAGTCGTCTGGATACTGGACAAGGACGCTGGAATGCATATAAAAGCCTAACAAATTGTTGATATTTTTTATTTATTTTATAAATACACTGCTACAGTATAATCAATACCGCATTATTAAAATATTAAGTACATCACATTTTCCTTAGATTTCACAATATATTTACTTAGTAAATATTAAAGCCATGAATTTCTCAAAATTCACGCTGGGGAATATATTTCTCTCAAAATTTTTAAAAACAACATCGAGATTATAGGTGTAGAATTTGAATAAATTAACTAGTGCCTTTTTAAAAGCAGTTTTGTCAAACATTCAAAAGGGAAATATAATCAGAAATGACATTTGTGGTCCATGAAACATAAAATATCAATAAATAGCACATAACCCATAAGATTCAAACAATTTATTGTTTCAAAATCTCTTTACTATCTGCATGCTTCCTAAGTTAATACTGGATTTGAAGCTTACCATGTTGATTCTTCGCATTTCCAATTTTCGGGAATTTGGTCAAAAATATCTCAAATTTATTGAAAAAATATTTTCTATTGGGCTCGGAAGGTAGCATATTCTTGCAACCCTTATTCAAACAAGAAACAAAATTCGACATCTCTGGCTCTGGTCAAAATCACATTTACCTTCAATTTAAAGTGGAATCTGTTAACTGGAAGAGCTGAAGAATCGACACTTATCACAATAATTAAACTTAAAAGAAATTAAAAATGCACGGTAACAATCACTTTGCGGATGATCAACTTTCAAGCACAAGTTTATATGCGATATCTTTAATGTGGAAAAGCTTCACACTGAATTCCTTTTGAAGCAAGACAAGCATTAAAACAATTTTCTTGTGCATGAACTTGACCTTAACTAAATTCTGATACATGGTAAAAATCAGACCTTGTTGGGCAACCAGAAATGTCATCGAATCAACGCTCTCGGGCAGATCTATATTTTAAGCCTACATCTGTACAAATAAATAAATTTAACTAACATCACTGTTCAGTCTGGGGAGACGCCTGAAACATCTAAAACAGCGTTAAGTCGTTGCTTGCTACAATATTCCTAGTTGGATAATATCTTTTCAAAACACTGAAGATCAGTAAATGACAACAGATGTATCAATAATTTGCTCTTTCAGCGACAAATGTTCAATAGTTTGGATGATGAAACTGAACGCAATCAATACTTTCAAACCCTACCAAGGGCATGGAATGAGCATTCAGTTGAATAGTAATGAGTCACTTCCAACACATTTAGACAAACAGTGGAGAGAATTTCACAGCAAATTGTACACGCATTAAAGACATATTTCATTTTTTACTATGTCAACACTGCACATCCTACGTAGATATTTGAAAATTAAACGTGAACGTACTCTCTCAAAAATACGGAATCGTCCACTTTTCAATCCTGCATAAGTAAGATGTCAGTTCAACAGGAATTTTCAACTTAAAGATAAAATTACAACCGTATATTTCAAATTTGTTTGCAGTAACAGTAACATGAACAAACTGACATTCATTATCTCATTTAAAGTGTGATGTATCCAAAAGAGTCAATTCTTTTACGGTCGCTCAATATTTTTTTCCAGTTACCTTATAATTTTTGCACCCATATTCACAGAAATCGTTTATATAACTGTAAGAGGAAAAGACGTTGAGTTTAGGTCTACGTTTTTGGAATAGTCTCACTCGTACTTCATGAATGTCTTAAACTAAAATATTGAAGTTACTACTACTGCACTCTATTTTTACATTAACCTCGAGGTATTCTGAAAAAAATTGTTCGGGTGCAAATAGGAGGGAATGGCTATTCCAGGATTGAAAATTAGTTGTAAATTAGAGAACTAAAGGTGTGGCTCAAATTGTATTTCAAGTGTATCAACACATTTTTAGAATCAATGAGCCGTTGGACTCGTTGAATCCAGTGATTATCTAATTTTTTTATGTTCTTGTTCTCTGTAAACATTGCGGGTATTAATAAGCAAATTGTGAATCCCTCCCCACCTTCTTATGCGCAGTTTCAATTGGTTCATGCGTCAACCCCGATCGATCAGCGTTTACATCTCAAGCAACAACGCAAGGAGTCGGCCTGGCGGGCATCCATGGTCCCCGGCCTGCTGCCGTCACCGCCATCTGACGGTCACCATTTGAATTCATCATCACTAAGCACCATCTCGCGAACAGCCATCACGTCATGTTGACGCCCAGTAGTCGGCTGCTGTACTCGTACACCACGTAGCTGATACTAACCGCCGGTATGACCTTGACGAAGTTGGGCGTGATGCCGCGGTACAGTCCCAGCAGTCCCTCCTTCTCGATGATGGTGCGGAACATACCGCTCATCGTCGTCGACGACGGGTCTATCGTCGGGTGGATGACTGCAGAAAAAAAATAAAAGCTCAGGTCAGTGTCAAACACATGCACAGAGACTGTAATTAGGAGTACATAACGCTTATTGCAATAAGCCAATGCGTGCCAGCGTTAGAAAATGTTACCAGGCACTCCATAACTGAAAAAATACTCTGCCAAGGTAACGTTTTTTTTTTAATAATTTCTAATACTCTTTTATTGATTTTTTAACTCACAAATTGCAAAAAAAATGTTTTTCCTAGATCTAGCTATGATGTTGACAGCCTATAAATGTACCAGGTACTTTTAAAACGTCAAAATATATCTGTTAATATCCATGGTTTCCGCTTTTGAGCCAGCCATTTGACTGGCGCCAGTGTTGTAAATCTAATTATCAATCCCTACTAGCAAGAAAGTTTTAAAATAGTGAGACTATTATTGACCTGTAACTAGCGCATTCTATAGGGCCCGGCACTCGATGTGCAACCTTTTCAAAATGCCATTTATTCGGTTTGGAAAATGATTTTTATTTATTCCAAAGTACATAATTTGTGGAAATATTCAAAAATGCAGAAATAATTCACTTTGGCTCCATATGACCATTGAGGCGGCCAAAAACGAATCACAAGGTGCCCTAATGTGACTTGACGATATTTTGGCCCACTCACGGATAATGACTTTGTTCAGTGTTTCGAGGCTGGTGTATTTTTTAGCTCGGCCTTGCTCTACAAAATGGGCCAGATACAATAATCTATTGTCTATGGACTGCGGCCGAAATGTTTGTCTGCCCACGGCTTCAAAGCAGCCTCCAGAACACTTTCCCGATAGTATGTGGCATTTACTTTGACGCCAGGCTCAATGAAAACGATTGGAGAGCGCCTATCCGCGGTTACAGCGGCCCGAACCATCATTTGTTGCGCGTGCTGCTTCCGGGTGACCAACCGGTGGTTCAAATTCTCGTAAGAACGTTCGTTCAAGTAAACCTTATCGTTTTGATAGTTTACAAATTTCTCAATTAGAAAACATTTCTCGTCAGAAAAGACGATTGGAAATTGACCACTTTCAGCCAAGCGAAGCAGCTCCTTAGCTCTCTCAAGATTCACTTGTTGCTGCTTCGGTGTAAGATCGTCCGCCTTTTGGAACTTGTAAGGCTTGACCTGGAGCTCATTTTTCAATACGCGTCGCACGTTCTTTAGTCATTTGACTGGCACTTCGTCGTGGATTTCGCTCAAGTCGCTTCTTCACTTTTCGAAACATCTCAGGTGACATTGCACCCTTTTGATAACCAGCTCCATGACGTTTAGCGATGATACCAGTATCACTGTAACGTTTTATGGTACGATAAACAAAAACCTGATTAACATCGAGATGTTTGAGCTCACGTACAATCGCTGGTTGTGATTTTCCAGACAAATATAAAGCTATCACATATTCCATTGCTTAGAACTTCGTTTGTGTTCACCTTTGACAAAATGGTTTTGTACGCTTGTAGACAATACTCAGAACTGTCATTTAGCAAATTTATTGACAGCTGCTGTCAGTGTGACAGACGCGAGAGTGGTTTGAAGTTGGTTACACACTTCGCGTGAAGGATCCTATACATAAGAACTGGAAGATCAAATATGATATTTATTTTCATCAGAAAGCCCCGATTCCTAATTTTCATGCCTATATCTTGTCTTGTATCTGATTTATAAGCGGCGTTTTACTAAGGCAGATTTGGCTCAACTCTAATGATTTATTTTCGTAAGTTTAATCTGGGATTGCTTTTAGGCCCATTCATTATGAACCACTCTGTATAACACTGGGATGGAATGAAACATTAACAAGGTGCTAGTTGCTGGCTTCCAATGATTGAAACAATCTACCGGTAGTGTAAGTCCTTTTGGGTCGGTCAAATTACTTGCCAATTGTAACCACTTGTGATTGAGACTTGGATTTCAATAATAATAGACGACCTTATTTCTTTACAACATTGCAATGCAAATATACTTTCGAGTCACTAAGTGCAATTTGTGGGTTATAACATTAATAAGGTGCTAGAATTTTTTCAATTACTAAAAATCCAAAGTTACTGAGATATAGCTGATATACTAATACGCGAGAAATATGCAGCTGCTTTAAAAAAATACCAGATTTATCAGGTTACCAAACATGTGGAGGATTGTTAAATGGCGATTTATGTAATATTTCTTACCTTGGGCTTGCAACCTGGTCCTAACTAAAGCCAATGGATATGAGCACATCTGTCCCAAGGTACTACTAACGCTACCACAGGCCAGTAACGTCCAAAAGCTAGGCTGTTCGTTTGAGGAGTGCGAGGTTATGTATTTTTTCTTCAATGTTTCATAAACAGCCAAATCAATACCAGCATATGGTACAATACCTGTAACAAACCATACATTCAAACACTTGTTGAAGTTCTAAGTCTAATATACAGGGTGCGGCAGAATAACTTCCTTTTTTAAAATACGCGCCATTCAGTCTGATGATGCCATAGCGGAGCGCTAGTGGTCTCGTTCGAGGGGCGGGATTGTAAAGTTTTGTCCCGATACAGTTCAGTCGTTGTCATCGAGGCCTACTTTTTGAGCGGATGTTCTGTGATCGCAACACAGCGCGCCTTCCGGAATCGCCATAATTTATCCCCGTTGGCCTCCATGCCGGACCGGAAATCAATTGTTACGTGGGTCACTGCTTTCAGACAGTCTGCAAGTGCGACAAGACGAATAACTGATATCCCTCGGTCCATTAGATCTCCCGAAAACGTTGAAACAGAGCTTCAATGTTGCGATCACCACAGCGATCTGCGAGCAAACATGCGCCTGCCCGATCGTTCTGTGAGGAGAATTCTTCAAGATGGCAATTGTGCAGGAACTTTCTGGCGTTTTTTTACGATAAAGCCCATTCTCACTTGTGTGGATCCGTCAAAACATATGCTACTGTCATTGAACCAATCCTCGAAAATTGCATCATAGGTCGTCTTTGCATTCACCTAGACTCAGTGTGGTGTGCAATTTCCTCAGCTGGAATTATAGGTCCCTTTGAGGAAAATGAAGCCGCAGTGACAATAAAATCGGACCGGTATGTGAACATGTTACAGGAATTTTTTCCACGACTAGATGAGTTGTGACTTAGGGGAAATGTTACTCCAGCAAGACGGTGCAACGGCTCACACTTCAAGAGCATCGATGGTTCTTTTGAGAAGACTTCCTAGAGCGCCTCATCTCAATTACGGGCGATTCGGAGTGGCCGGCCTGCTCTCCTGGTTTGATCCCTTATTTTTTGTTTTCCGTGGGATTTTTTGAAATTCCGTGTTTATGTGAAAGTAAAAGGATCCTACAAGATTTGAACTCCTACCAGAAAGAAATTGCCAACATAAAGCCTGCTATGCTGGCAAGTCATGAAAAACGCCAGAAATCAGTTTATTAAACAATGTATGGACAATGGGGGACGTGACCTATCTGATTTGATCTTAAAAATTCTGTAAAACAATACTTTAGGCATGCTCCTATTTTATAAAAAAAACAAATAAAAATGTTCCGATTCATACGATCGGTTCAAGTCTTGAAAAACTAAAGTTATGCTGCGCACTCTATACAATATCGGTATCGTAGTAGGACACGTAGTAGTGGATCAATCACTATATATATACAGGGTGACTTTGAAGTTGAGTCATTAATTTTCAGATAATGATTGTAGAAGGAAGATAAACCAGAATATGTGTGTAAAAATAAAAAAAAATGTTTACCTTGTTTTATAAAGTATCCTCCCGACAAGTATTTCAGTGCGGACCTGTATTTGATCGTGAGGTCCCCTGTGAGGTCTTAAGTCACCTAATTCACGAGCCCGTTGTACTACATTAACAAAGGCACGAGGGGTTGGTTGCACTCGATTGGGAAACCGATCCGCATAAACATGTGCCATTTTTTATTTCGTTTGAGCCACGCAACAGACACTATTCACACGCTAACCGACAGACAGTGACTGTATGTATAACTGAACTGAATAAAATACTTAATTGCAAAAACATCGTTCCAAATTCTTTCGCTTTTTTGTTTCCGATGCGATGAACCGGTAAGGCGGATTATATCCGTTGTTGCCAAACACGAGTACATGATATTATTATTGAGACAGGGCGGTACTCAAACTTCCAAAGGGCTATAACTTTGTTACTTTAATTTTACCAGAAAAATGGTAAAGGAAAAAAACATTTCTTTTGATCAGATCTACTCACTGTTAAAATAAATGACTCAACTTCGAAGTCACCCTGTATATATACAATGTCAATGATACCACTTTGTTAAGCGTTCCATTAATTTCATCCTACATGGTATGCCGTGTTGAAAAAAAAGGCGCTGTTCACAGGGGCCGCGTTTTGAAGCGAACCTTACAAGGGCGCGGTAAGTCAGCGTCGCCCAGGATGCACTGAGCAAAATTTCGCTACATTTATGGCATGTTAGGACGGAGTTATGCAAATAGTATCTACAGTATAATAGGAGAAGGCAGTTATCTACAACACTAATATTAAAGATACAAACTGAATCCGGAAGTACAAATCATAAAAACAATAGAAAAATAACTTTTAGTACAACTACGAATGATCAAAATACTGTTAAGGTTATGGCCAATTGCACCAACGAGTTTAGGGATACCTCATTATCTCTATTCGTTGCTCAACGTTATGCAGTCCTTAAAAGCGACGATTATTCTCCAATCGAGCAGTCCTTTGTTTAATGGCAGCTAGAGATCCCTTAAATAGTACTCAGGCCAGTTTGATGCAAATATCTATTGATTTATCTGTCAGGATAACTTTTTGCAAAATAGTGTGTGCATAGCAATGGAGTATGGACTATTTGGGCGATCAACTGGATATTCTGAAAGGTGACTTAAGAGTAGGCTGATGATGAGATGGGGCTGCCCCAGCGCATTTATAGTCGTTCCAAATATTTTGAAGAAATGGATTAGCTGAAGTTCTCCAAAAGGTTCAGGCTATATACAGAAATTGTGATGCATGTATCATCTCAAATGGAATGTCAATTAAGAGTATTCTAATGGCAGGTATATAAGTTGATCCATCTATAAGATATATCTATAGCGTACATTTTAGGGCCAACAATGTTTCACCTATACATCGACTTTTGTGCTGTTTAAGGTACCATGCCAGTGCAAATCATCTTGAACAGACAGCTGATTTTATGGGTATACATGTGAGACTACAGAATTGCATCTAGGTTATCAAGGACCAGAGTCTGATTATTTCCAATTTTCGTGAAAATGCTTACAGAAGCTAATATTATAATGGCGCAAATTTTACAGCTATGTTAGGTTTCTTACGGTATCAGGAACAGTAGGTGTTATCCAGAATAGGATTCAATCTTCATTTAATGCTCGACTGTAAATCAATTTTATGGATAATTAATAATTCATTTCTGCTAATTCTTATTGTTACTTGTGACAACAACCACAAATTATTTACCATAGTTACACTGCTGTATGGTACACAAATGCAGTTATTCATAAATTAGAAAGAGTTATTATTCCTTGAATATACAGGTTGTAGCAAATTCTGATCTCAAGTTGAAAAACATAATGGTCTTATATTTTTCCTTTATTGTTTTCTACCAAAATGGTGACATTAGCGCTCAAAAAAGGAAGATGTCATATTACCATAATGTTTACATTGCACCAATATGAACACAGCTAACAGGAACATCAAATCACATTTTTCAAACAAAACTCTAAAGTATAAAACTTTGAAAATGTAAAAAAGTGTGAAACATTTGAAATGCACTGACATTACATAACTTGAATGTGGGAACGTCATTTTCAGTACAGTACATCTATTTCTTTCAAGCAGCTCTGACAACTGCACCATAACATGACAAAACCACTAGCTTCCTGTGGAGTTGTCAAGTTTAAGAAAAGTTTGGTCAAGGAAACCCAAAACGTGTTGATGCAATCTAAAAAATCGTGAGTGTTTCCCAAATTTCAGTGTCTCCTTTGGTATTCTGCCCTTTTCGAGTGTTAGCTTACCTAAAATATTCGGAATGTAGCCCCTATAGAAGCTCATCAGTCCTTCTGTTACGTATATTTTATACGCAGCATCTGCTATGCTTTTGTACTGGCCAGTTTTCCTTAATGCTAATCTAGTTTTCAGCACCTCCATTGGATAAATTGCTGTTTGGCTAATAGCGCCTGCCAAAGCACCCGCCATAAACCTAGAAAAAAAATATTTATCAAAAAAACTGAACAAGAAGCTTCTGATTGTTGTATCAGTTTTGGATGGCATCTCATTTTTCTAATTTATACATGGAAATAAGACAGCACAAAGTGCCATCTATTACCAAAATAGACCACTGCGAAAGTTAAAACAGCAAGTTGTCTGCTGGAACTGTATCTCAGTTCGCATTAACAGGCGGGCCACCACTGGCCGCTAGATGCCGCCGATTCTGGTGATATAATAGTAGATACGGTCTACTCGCCATTGAACTAACAATTTAGCTTTCGTTCGCCCGACCACAAACGTGCTATATGTTAACACCTCAGCATGGTGAAGGCTTCGTCTCAGTGGACAAAGAACGAAAGCTGAGCAACTCTTTCTAGAATATAAGGTTTTTCGAAATAAGACTTCAGCAGTGGTCGATTGTGGTAACAGATGGTACTTTATGCTGCCTTATTTCGATAAACTGTATACTTTGCATGGAGCAGACTTGCTCGGCTTTCGTTCCTTGCCCACCGAGACCAAGTCTAAACCATGATGAGTTGCCAAATGGCACGAAACAGCTGTCCGTGGTTGGCCGTCTGTCGTCGGACGAACGAAAGCTATATTACTCATACATACCTGGTTTTATTTGACAAGAAAATGGTTTTATCAACCACAGGATAACTTGCATGTGCTACATTAACCAAGGACAGTTTTTATTCCAAGTAATGCATAAAATAACGTCCGCTGGCCCCAAAGGACTCAAAATGATGAACAAAACACTTGGAAAAAACTACATAAAAATCCAATGTTTTAGTAGCTAGATGCTCCGGAAATTATATATTGTGTATACCAAAACACCATCAAAAGATACAAGTGTACATTTAATGGTAGTAACGTGGGAATCGTACAAAGTAAGCGTAAAATGACTTTTTGTATTTTGTTTTGTCCTCAATAATCTACTTTATTTTTTATTATGGTCGGCATAATGGGTTTTTGCACACGTAAATAGTTTTGAATTTGGACTCAACAAATCTGTCATAGATTGATATTTTCAAGCTTAAGTTATTAAAAAAACTAATATCTCCATAGTTGGGCTTGAAAATGGAGGTTTTTCGCATATTTAACCGATTAAGTCACCAATGATTCTATTCTTTCATTTATTGATTATAACATGACTCAGCAGTAGGTTAATGTTATTTGAATGCAAGATGCATCAGTTTAGATATGGCAGGTATGAAATGTATTTAAGAAGCTGCAACACCCCCGAGGCTTTTATTTACTCTAAAATGTTTCTATCAGTCATATAAAATAATACTATTTTAAAAGTTTCCAATACTAATCTTGAATAATATGAAAACGTGTTTCATTCGATGATTTAAGATCAACTACAGGAAGGCTACTTTTTTAGACATTTGAAGTTCTATAATATCAATCCATGTCACATTTTATTATAATTATTATAATATTGCATCATTAAAATCGGCGATAGGACTGTCCACATACACCTAGTTCATAAAAACTTAAAGGACTTGGTTCGTGATATTATGCAACAAATGATTATCTGAAAATTTCCGGAACAACTTAGACTCTAAGTCTTAGAGAATTCTGTTTTTTGAAAACACTAAAGTTTGGCAGTGTCAATGTATGACATATTATGCATTTCTGGAAACAGAATATAAACTCTTCACCTGAACAAAAAACACTATGGCGTCCTTAAAAAAAATAACTGAATACAACAGACAAAATATCATATTGAAAGTCTAATTATGCCACCTTGTAGAAAAGAAAAGTTGGTAACGTCAATATATAATTTATTTGTAAATCCCACCTCAAATAAAGTAAGGAAAAAATACAAACGATTTTGGGCAAATTAAGTTTTTTAGGTCTATGAATATGTATCTCCAGAAATAATCTGAATCGCAAAAATTTTCCAAAGCTAATTTCTTAGCTACCTGAATGCGCAACTTTGTCCGCATTTAACCGACTTGGAATCTCGAAATGGTGTGGGCAGACGTATCCACAGGAGTTAAGCCACCAATCTTTGACTCTCTGTATCTCAAATAGAAAGCATTTCTGGGCTTTGCGCTTATTGGAACGTTTGATCAGCACAACATGAACTATCACTGTACCAATTTTGATTAAATGTGACCGGTGGTCAAATCCCATATGTTTTATGCCTGATTGAATTTTTTCCGTTTCCATAATGAGTAAAAGTGAAACTTGGAGACCACATTTCACCACTTTTTTATGACACAGAAGTACTAAATATACGTACTGCATATATTTCCACATATAATAGACTAACCTTTCATAAATAGCGAGTTGATTTTTCGAATCGCCCTTGATTAGCCTCTTCACCTGCTCGTAAGCGGCAAACTTCAGGGCAGATTCAGGAGCTATCTTCAGTACATTGATGCCGTTGCCTCGCCACAATCCTGTGACACCGCCTTCTTTAACCATATGTATGAAACAGTCCTTGATTTTTTGCTTACTGGGTTGTACCTAAGAAAACAGAATTGATTTCAAAACCGAATGTCATTGGAAATAAGTAAATCTGATGAGTTCCTGCTATATTATAAATAACAATATTGTTTTTCCTCTATATAAGGGTAATTATGTATCAACATTTTCAAGTTATTGGACTGACAAGTTTGGTGGAATATCAGGTTCGTTTTATTTTCTAAAATGAATCAGGTAATAAAAACGGCCCCAAAATACACGACCAACATTTTTTTATTCCATAATCTACTTTTTTTAAATTATTGTTTGGACGTGTCACAGGGGTATTGATGGAAATCCTACCAAATGCAACATACCTGGTTTTTGATAGGCTTTCACCTCTCATAGTACTCTGAGGTGCCCCTTAAGTAACATTGACACATGTTCTAGTCTGATTTGACAGCTCGTGACATGGAACTTACAAAACCAAACATGCATATACGAGTGTATATCAACATCTAGTTCAAGGTCCAATATCTCAGATTCGTTGCTACTTAGCGTGTAATTGTATTCAAGTGATTTTAGTTTTTTGGCTACATCCATAAAAGAAACATGTGTTCGTTGTCCGTGGGACAAAAATCAAAGGCAAATACTATCGAAATTTACCCACTGCGCCTCGACTTTTATTAATAGTGAAATAGTCACTTCTCAAAGAGAAATTAAAAACTGTTCCCTAAGATCCACGAGTTCTTTCTATACTTTGACGAAACCTATACATGTTCATGCATGTCTAATGAATAATATATTCATTATTATTATTACTTTACTAAAATGACATTTACATCATCACGTTCATACTGGCTTATTGTTGCATTCCTAGCCTATTAGACAATAGTAGCTTGACAATTTGACGATCCAATAACCTCTGAATAGAGTTTAGAGCAATACAGGGTTTGTCCGGAAAGTAATAGGACTCATTTTCTTCCGCCATGACTGTACTTCGGAGCGTGCGCGCACCGACTGGATTCGGTAGAGGGCGTTCCTAGCTAACGAATGAGCGGCTGGTCAGTTGTCTCCGAGCACTTGGAGGCATTTTCGCGCGACGTGTTTCTGTGAGTGGTGCAAGCCGAAAATGCAGCGTTCGTTAGAGCAGAGGTACGCGATTAAATTCTGTGTGAAACACGGTAAATCTGCGACAGAGACGTTTGATATGATCAAGCAGGCTTACCCAGGTGTTGCTTTAGCAAGAAGTGGTGTGTTTCGGTGGCACCAGGCCTTTTTGAAGGACCGGGAAGAGGTCGCTGATGAAGACCGTGCTGGAAGGCCTTCGACTTCGACAAACACCGATAGTGTGACTCGTGTGCGCAAAGTTTTGAACTCAGACCGTCGACTAAGTATTCGTTTAATTACCCAGATGTTAAATTTACCAAAATCTGTGGTTAATGATATTGTGACACAGCATTTGAACATGTGCAAGGTGTGCGCGAAGATGGTCCCAAAAGTGCTCACTGACGACCAGAAATTGCGGCGAGTGGAAGTGTGCCAAGAAATTTGAACATGTGTGAAAGTGACCCAAAATTTTTGAATAACGTAATCACAGGTGACGAGTCGTGGAACTTTGAGTATGATCGCGAGACAAAGAAGCAATCGTCCGAGTGGCACACGACGGCGTCTCCTCGCCCAAAAAAAAGGAAGAATGAGCAAATCCAAAGTGAAAATGATGCTCATTGTCTTTTTTGACACCAAAGGCATCGTCCATCATGAATTTGTTCCTCCTGGACAAACCGTCAATGCGTTTTACGTAGAAGTCCTCAGGAGGCTCAAACGAAGGGTCAGTCGGCTCCGACAAGACATCGCAGCCGACTGGAAGTTGCACCACTAGAACGCCCCGGCTCACACCGTCTTTCTTGTGAACAGCTACCTGACCAATGCCGGCATCCCAACGCTTCCGCAGCCGCCCTACAGCCCAGATGTGCCCCCCCCCCCCCCCGGACTTTTTTTTGTTTCCTAGCCTGCAAAGGCCGATGAAAGGCAAGCATTATGAGACGACAGAGGGGATCCAAGCAGCATGCACCGCGGCTCTCAAGGCTATTCCGGAGAATGCCTTCCGTGACGCCGTCAATGCTTGGAAATCGCACTGGCAGCGCTGCATCGACGCAGAAGGAGCCTATTTTGAAAGTTTTTAAAGAATTGTAACGATTGGCTCAATAAATTTTTTTAAATCGACTCAGTCCTATTACTTTCCGGACAAACCCTGTATAATTGATCCTAATTACCTGTAAAAAAACTTTGAGCCTATCAAGAGGTGCAGTGCAAGTCCTGGATACAGCTCCGGCAATTCCTCCCGCAGCTAGATGACGCCACCACATTCCCGTTTGCATTTCACTCTGTGTGAAGTCATCGGGAACGTTCATATCCTCCCCGATGTCCAGGTACTGTAAATAAAAGATATTGATAAAATCCTTATTAGTGAATTTGAATTTTAGGAGCGATTTCACACAAAAACTGACACCTTAGAGGAAACAACAAGTCACCTTCTCTTTTATAACTTCATATCAAATATTTGATAGCAGCTGTCAAATACATCACATTATTTAGCTCTCGCCAGCTGTGCTGAGCAGTCTTAAAAAATTGTAAAGTATAGAAATAAGATGCGGGGTTCGGGAAGTGTTTCTTTAGATTTAAAGAGATTGATCATTTTGATCAACTTTCCACAGAAATGAGGATAGCATTTCAAAACAAACTCATCTGCTTAATCAAAGAAGCTTACCAACTGGCAACGTGTGTATAATCGGCTCTTAGGCCTATAAAAAGTCAATCTAGAGAGTATAAGCAGCCACATAACTTATCTGAATTTCGCAAATTTCCCGAAACATTAAATTGTTAACATATAATTTCTCAGATTATCAGCATAATAGCAGCCTTCTTTGGCGGCCATTATTGCTCATTAGCATTATAAATATGGTACAATTTTTGGGAAGAAGCCAAACCACGGTGGTGAAATATAATGACATATCCAATACAGAATTTGAAGAATTCCTTTGTTTCTCAAACTGACGGCTTTATTGTAGCAATCCCGCAGATCTGACAACGTCGCCTCCCATTTTGCGCTAATCTGCGGAAGGTACGAAGTCCAATACCCGTCGCGTCCACGGAATCGTCGTAGGAGTGACGTCAAGATCGTCTGCAGTGCCGACCAATGACAATGGAATGAACAGCAACGCACGTGGTAAAATCAAGGTCACTGCGTTACAGCTGGGATTTGAACGCGAGATGCGCACGCAACCTAACGGTCAAATTAAAAAAAAAAGGGAAATCGAATACGGGCGAGATATGTAAATGAGATATGCCAGTACTGGTGAAGTTGTGTTTTTAGTAGACAACGTAACAGGTGCCAATCCCAGGTTTTGTCGTTCAGGAAAAGCAGTCACTTTTTGGTGTTGCAACATTCATTAGTATTATAGCTTATACTATCGGTATGTAGGAGGAGCGAGTGTGACAGATCTGTTATTTCCAAGGAGTGATACGATAGTACCTAGTTAAAAGTTGAAATCAGTTTCACTGTAAATGATCGGTATGGATTATCCGAGATTCATTGTTGGAAAGGACGGTATCTAAATATGAATAACGATTTCGTAGTCAAGATCTAATTTCTCTTTGGATTCTGACTCTGAATAGGTAATATGTATACTTCAATGAAAAAATTATTTAGTATTTTACATAGAGCTGGAGAATTAGTTTTTATAATGATTTGTTATTGAATCACCAATACGGGAATTTTCTATTTTTTTTTCGCAGATCTGAAGTTACACTGCCACGTGATGTTATATTAGTATTTCAAGGTGTCCACGCACCATTTCTCAATTCCAAATCTACAAAAAAATGCAGCCAATTCAACGATCTTATACTGGCAGCTAAAATAACAAATAAGATTTCCTTGTTATATATAAACGTGGAAAGAGAAAACGCGATCGAAAAGGACACAAGGTGAGCTGTATCAAACTAAAGCAAAGTTATAAAGGTACCCACTGAATGCAAAAAAAAATCTTTACAGCTTCTAATTCCGTGTTACGGTAATATAACGAACCTCCCAACGATGAGAAAAATATATCAATTTACCTCGAGCATCCAAAAACTGAACCCCAAAACCCCACTGCTACCCCCTAACACGTTCACTAATCGCATCTTGCGGACGATCTAGATTATTACAATGCACTTTCTACTAATACTGCCATGGAAATCACATTCTATGACAAAATGGAATCGAAAACTACGAATAATAAATGTGATGATAATGGCAAAGATCAATTTATGTACAGATGTAGGTACAGATAAAAATTGAACCATCCACAGTGTGCATGTCTGTCGTTTTGCGTAAAGCATTCACTATCTTGATCGTTTTGAACTTTCCCAGGCGATACTACGACTTCGTTGAGATAACAAATCCTAATGGAAATTATCAAAGTTTAGTTATCGAAATATTCCAGGAATTTTAATCATGCTACAACAAAGCGGCAACATCGCGAAATGGCTCAGTCATATGGACGCCAATTAAGTAATTCAACGGTGCCAAATTAATATTGTTTCGTTAGAATAAGGAAATGTTAGTTCATTTAATCAAATAGGCCTGAAAATGCTTGGTTTCCATAAATCTTGGTGTTCAAATTTTTTCTGTTCACCTTAATATCGAACTCAAACTCTATTGAGATGAGTTGCGGTAGAAAGTCAATAAAGTTTTACCGAAAAAAACAGTATGCCACAATTGTTTGTAAAAAATAGTGTAAGCACCTCAAAACAGGATTATTTAAAAACTACCTCTTGGAGTGTTTCGTTCAGATGCACCGTTTTTAACATAAAAATTATTAGAACAAGCTGTGTATCACACGAACAAAACGGAAAACACCAAAACACACTTTTGAAGCAGAATTAATGTGGCTTTGAGAAAATGACACTTTTGTTTAACAAAAAGAAGTGGTGTATAATTTCTTGTATTATGGAACCGAGGAATGACCATGAAGTTTTTTCATACCATCACGTGCGTACGAACTGCCCTTAATTTTCCCTGACAACAGTTAATAAAATATAATAGGTTGTCCAATCGGGACGCAGGAAAGTAAACGTCAATTTGACATAGACGCCATCTTTGTTTTCTGTCACCGACATGTCATTTTGTTAGTTGAATGTTTACCATTGATCGCTATGGAGTCGTATTCGATTGAAGACCGCATTAAAGTTATTCAAGAGCACTACAAAAATGGTGCAAAAATAAAAAACACGTTTCGCGCGCTTCGTGAACATTTCGGTCGCAACAACCGCCCAAACGAAACAACCATCGGTCGTCTGGTGCGTAAATTCGAGGCAACAGGTTCTGTGGCAAATCTGCCAGGCTCTGGCCGGCCAAGGAGCGTTCGCACACCGGAAAATATTGCTGTTGTGAGAGACGATCCGAAACAATCAACAACGCGTCGATCCCAAGAATTGGGCATTTCGAGAACTAGTTTGCTCCGCATTCTCAAGAACGATTTGAATGTACACGCCTACAAGATCCAATTGACGCAAGAGCTGCGTCGGGCCGACCATTTTTCGCGCCGAACGTTCTCAGATTGGCTCCTTGAACACCGCCAAATTGATGCCAATTTTTCATCAAAAATCATGTTCAGCGACGAAGCGCATTTCACTTTGAATGGGACGGTAAACAAGCAAAACTGCCGCATCTGGGCGAACGAAAATCCCCGTGAATATCAAGAGCAGCCGATGCATCCTCAAAAAGTGACTGTGTGGTGTGCATTGTGGTCAAAAGGCATCATCGGACCTTACTTTTTCGAAAATGCGGCCGGGGACGCCGTTACCGTCAATTCTGAGCGATATCACGTGATGATAGAGGACTATTTCTTGCCGCAACTTGAAGGAATGGATATGGACGATGTTTATTTCCAACAAGACGGTGCAACATGCCACAACAACCAACGTCAATATCCATCGATTGCAGTCCTTCTTCGGTGATCGCGTGATTTCGCGCAGAGGAAATGTGCCATGGCCACCAAGATCGTGCGATTTGACTCCCTTGGACTTCTTTTTATGGGGATATTTGAAAAGCAAAGTCTACGTCAACAAACCAGCCACCCTCCAAGAACTCAAAAACAACATAATTGCCGAGATAAATGCCATAGAACCGACCATGTTGCAAAATGTCATTGAAAATTTCGACCATCGCGTGGACGTCTGTAAATCCAGTCGTGGTGAACATTTGAGCGATATTATTTTTCATACATAAATGGTATAAATGAACCTCCAAAATAAAGTACCCAACTTGATTTGAATATCAATCTTTCTTGTTTTAATATGCGTTTACTTTCCTGCGTCCGTTTTGGACAACCCCATACATATTTATCATGAACCACACTTAAAACATTTTTCTATAAAATCCTGGTTGCCACTAAGCATTATGCAGGAAATAAGTAAGCACTTTTGTATATAGCAAATGATTTATTTTTTACAAAGATCTGGTAACAATTTGTCAAATGGAGGAATATCCAGGTTTTTTCAAAAACACGTTTTTTAATTTTGCATTTGATGAAGGTTGAAAAACCGTTTCGAGACTATAAAAAACTAACTATATTCAGTAGCGCATTTTATATTCTATTTGAAAACAAATACTCGTAGTTGGCAAAAATTAGTCTGCGCTTTATAAAGTCACAACCTAATATAACCTAACGATGTTAGGATTTAGTACACGGCGTCAAGTTAGGTGACAATAAAAGCATTATTAAATCATTGACAGTGACAAAGAATCGTTGAGATTTACACAACGTTATTTACGATAGTCTAGGATATCTGAGCTTTGTGAAGAACAAGATAAATTACAAAGCGTACTAACACGAAATTAGAAACAATTAGAGGACATTGATAAAAAATAAAAAGTGATTTTTCGCGCCAACGTAATGTTACGCACCTACTCAAGTGCGCTGCCTGCCATCTCCTTGGTGTCACGCAAAACACGGCAACATTGTACAGCCCGAACGGCTACCAGTACCGGCTTATTTCTGGGTTAAAAACCTCTCCGGCTGACGCAAGTAACCTTCCAGATTGCATAGTCTCCTTACCTAGCGCATGTTTAACTTACTCTAAAAAAGATACTTAACTTGAGTATAATATCGATGGTAATTTCGACTTCTATCCCGTCCATGGTGTCGATAATGCTTCAAATACGCGGCTTTTCACGAATATCACAGCCAACTAGACAGCCCCACGGCACATCACTGGTGCGTCAATTAATAGTCGAGTAGGGAATAGAAAGATGAGCGCCTGGTCAGAACAGAGCCAAGATTGAGCGGGACACTACAGAATCACCGAGTGAACGAATGAAACACGTGCAATGTTTCGAACACGAGAACGGATGCCTAGAACATAGAGTACAGTTATGCAGAGTGAAAGTTGCCTGGTTTATTGCCAACTTAAGGTGCATCTGTGTTGTCGGATTTTACTGTTCTTTAAATTGATGACTACGAGAGTAACTGCCAAACTTTAAAAAAGTGAACTGTATTATTGTAGTAAGAGCCTGAAGATAGACAAGTTCTTCACATCAGTCTTGTCCATTATGTGTACTTTCAATGTATGAATGTTTCAAAACGGCAAATTACTTCAGAAAAGCTCGTGAACCCTATAGATTGTATAAAGCCAAAAAAGGATTTGATAAAATTAATTCTTTCGTCGTTATCTATTAGATGAGTCTTGAGATCATGACAATTAGAAAATGCGATACAAGGAAACAAAAAAACAGAGCACGGTAATGATTTGAATAAGGAAAATTGTGATATCTAGAACTACTAAGAATTGAAATTCCGATTTTTTACCCATAATTCAAATAAAGTTCGATGATAAAACAGATATCACGAATCGATGGTGTAGTAGTGAGAACAATGAATGCACAATGAAAACAAACCAATTTTAAAAACACAGATACCACAAACCAGTACACCTCAGTAACTGACCACAAAACACGTGTTCGCAATGAGTTTCACTGGAAGACTGAACTTTTGGACAGATTTATACCTGAATATTTACAGACTGAGGGTGGTTACCTACCCCTGTACTTCTATTTATTCAGTGGTCTCCAAAGTATCATTAGCCTATCTATTGATGGTATTTCAGGTAGTCAGGGGATTATTTTATTACTGATACTTTTAGACCTGAGGATAAGCTAATCCTTCATAATTCAAGAAACAATTTGCAATTATTATATAAGAATTAGTTTCTACCAAACACATTCTGGAAAATGGATCAGGTAGGGTTTATTATTATTATCTTAAAAGACAGTAAAACACCTGCAAACAATTTTCATTTTATACTTACAAGTACCAGGATCATGTAGGAATATTCATTTAGCTTATTTTTCTCAATTTCACTATTCATCTGTGTAATAGTATTTCTACATCCTCTAATACTAAAAAATGAACTTGATATGAAACAATATACTTTTCTGGAGGGATTTGGTGCAAAATGGAAAAGCTGCGTTTCTTTAATTGTTACACACAGCGCTATTCAAAAATAGATCCTAAAAAAATTGAGAGAAGTCCTGCTGCTTTGTCTTGGATTTCAATATCAATTTCTTAGTGTAAATTCTGTTTTCAGGAACTCTATGCACGTTTGTACTCGTAAAGGCTCCCAACCTAACCTGATAAAGGGTTTATTAAGGTTGTACATACACGATTCATTTGATCACCTTTAGCCGGGCATCCGATGTATAAGATCGGAGTCCATTCGAGGCTATCATTAGTTAAATTACAAGGTTTGTGATCAATTAATCATGTGTATCAACCTACTTCTTCATCTCTTGGTTTTACAGATTGCAGTACATCCAAAAATTCCCAGAAATAGTTAACTTAAAAACAGATATTTTGTGGTAAGTAGATATGTAAAGTAATATAATTATTTATTTTAGTTGATGAAAATGTAGTGTTAAAATGACATTGCAGTTCCACCGACCAATAAATAGATGATCAAAAACCAGACAACTAACTGTACTGAAGAACGACAATGACCCCGAAACATAAAATGTGTTCGCCTACCATACTACTCCGAAGAAGCTCGGGTAGAAAACAAAAGTATTCCAGTTGCATAGATTGTAGTCACTTTCTAATGTCGAGGTGAAATAGAGTAAGACATACAGGTAATTACCATTAGGAACCTTGAACGTCTCAGTTTTGCAATAGGAGTGTAATGTTACCTGATTACAATCAATTTAAACCTGCCACAGCCAGTTGGAATAATTTGTTTAATCATTAAATTTTCAACATTTACCAATACTCAATTATCACCCAGTGCCCCACTTAATAAAAAATACATCTGACTTCTTCTTTTATGCAGATCAGCTTTACTACTCATATAAAAAGATTTTTCGTTCACTGGACATAACTGATTGTCCTTGATTATACTTCACCTTACTTACATATATCATAGAACGCGTAATCGTCCAGAAATGTAAAAATCTAAATTGCTTCAACACCTTAATTTTTTCTAAATTCATTTGTATTTGCTCCTCCTTGACCAATACTTCTCCAAAGTATGCAACATCCATATTAATATACGGCTCGATTTCTTATTCACTTATTCATTCATGAGTGAATCAGCAGGTTTTATGAGAAATTTCCAGTTTTCCCCAAGGATTTCCTCGTAAAAACCCATTTGCTGATAGTATGTTTGTATCAAAATATTTACTAAACATACAACAGTATTTTTGCAGGATGGAACTTCAAAAGAACAAGAAATAAACGAAACTAAACCCTTATCAAGATATAAAAGAAAAACATGAAATAATTGTATACTTATATATAATACTTATTTGGTGACAAAAGTATTCGACCTATACAAATGCTAACATGTATATATGTATTACAGTTGTTTAGAACTCCTTTACGACGAGGCTGTATATAGATTCAACTGAAACGCTTATTGATCAAATAAGCAATTTGAGGTTAGAAATTGCAATAATACGACCTTCTTTTGTTACTAAACTAAATCGTGTAATATTCCGAGGAGGATTCAAAAAGTTAAATAGCTATAGGATCACAAATTTTAAAAATAACTTCTGTAATAACTCAGCTATCTCGGGTGATCATATACAGTAATTTCAAAACGGTCCCTCACCTTATTTTTTAAAAGGGTAGAGTTAGGGAGCTGAAATACGGTATGATGAAATTGATGCATTTGCAACCTGGACAACCGAACTGGCATGTGGTTCCTCATTTTGAAGTTCCTTATGAGTCTCTTATAACCCTAGCCCTAGAGTATAAAATTAATATCTTTCCAAATGGCGGATTGGCGGGCTGCCAAAGATGAGCGTTTCTGTACATTGAATCGTTTTTCACTTAAAAACTAAAATCATGAAAATGCTATAGTCTGCTATATATCCATCATCCTGGGATTTTCAACTGTCATCTTTAGGCTAAAATGTGTTTTTTTTCATGGTACCCTAAGGTTTTCTTATCATCAGCTTTCAATTTCCAAGGAGATAAGTAATTAAATTAGGATTAAGAATGAGGATATTAATATATAGGGGATGGCAATAAATCCGTGGCCCAACAGGTAATCCTTTGGTCCTTCTAAGAAGGAAAGAAAATGAAGATGAATCCTTCGTTTTCCAGGTATTGGGTCTCAAACTTATCCTATTTTTAGTATTTCCTTTGGGATTAGGGTCTTACTGACCTGTTGCTTGTATTCAATAGAATTTTTGACAATATATCCGCGTCTACTAAAATTTCAACAAATAAAAACCAGTTTTTTTTCGCAAATTTTTGTTTCAATTACAAAGTATCTTGTAAATGACGTATTACCAAACCTATGTTTATACGAATTTTGCTTCGACACACTATAAGAAAAAATAAAACAATCTACAGGGAAAACTAAATTTGTCTGACGGCTTGAGTTCAATGTCTACGAGATAGAAGCGCGAGAAGTATGTATCAACATATCAACACGTGTTAGAAAGAGACAGAAGCAGGCTGAAGAGCGAAGGTCATCACCACATTGCCTAGCAACGGTGACGCAGAAGGGCATGAAATCTGCCGCGTTGACCAGAAAATGTTCGCACACAGGCTTCTACAATACGTTAGGTTACTGTCAAACTCAAAAAGGAGGACTGTTCGACTATTTAATTTGATATTTCGTTTTCATTTTTATTAGGATTGTTTATTTCAATTTTGATGCGACACCCCCAATGAGCGCTAGATGAGTACTGACCAAAATCGCTCATGTATGATCATGGAGGTGGAAACCTTGCTTTGGAATGTACGAGATGTGGTGCTGCCAAGTGAATTAATGGTGCAATGTTGCAGAATTTGTGGCGAACCTGACCTTTTATTCGACCTAAAATGAAGCGCCGCTAGGATCGACCCGGAATCGATCCGAAACAGATTCGACACAATTCACAATTCAATAATATGCACACCATTATTTGAGCGCAAAGAATAAACGCCCATTTCCAACATGTATCTTAATTCAAGGAACTGGTGTAACATATTGACAACGCGGCGCATTGCCGCGTCAGTGTGGGCTTCTATCCTTTCTTTACATATGTGTCTATACACACTTCTCTCTCCTATACATTGAACTCAAGCGGTCAGACAAATTTGGTTTTCAGTGTATATGGAAGATTTTGATGTCATTTTTTAAACTAGTAGAAAATAAAAAAGTACAACGAATGTTGGAATTCAAAATTAACTTGACATATTGTAGTAGTAGTCAAATAAAGAGCGGTAACATACAATCGTAGTATCATATAGCTAGCTCATTCGCGTGACCACTTTTATTAAACCATGGAGGTGGAGGGGTTTATCGGTTTTTACGTGTGCCGCTTGGGCAACATAAAAAGGTGTTAAAAAGTGAATAAACAGTCGAGTGGTTTTTCGCAACATCTTCACAAAAAAAAAAATGTAAAAAACTCACGGAATGTTCGAGACATACCTGCAAGATTTCCTTGAATACGAGCACTAAATCCTCAACGACATCAGGCACGGGGGTTTGAGGGCACAGATCTTCAAACGACATTTCGAATCACTTTTATTGAACAGCGGTAACAAGCAAAATCGCGGCCCGATACTTGCGCGAATTATATCACAGTTTCGCAGGTGAGAGGACAGAGAATGTAACAAATCACACAGAGCGTTAACAGCTGACTAACGCGGCTAGACGGAAAAGTTATGACATGAGGCCGTCATCGCTAGTTGGAATCGCGAGCGAGGTTCGCGGTTAAGGTGGGGGGACGAGCGCCCACTGATCATATACTCTCTCTCGTTTTCGGAGGACTAGCCTCACGACATCCGGCAGACCGAGTTTTATCTACCGTTATCGGGAAACCGTACACATGACAAGACGGGTAGAGGGATGGACACGACAACGTGAATGATGTGATTTACAGTATCAACACATCTAGGAAAACAATCCGATTTGTTTCACGCTCTCGGAAACAAATTGAAAACAAATGCTTGGGAAATGTGGCGGTTGTTTCTACAATGCCTATAAGCAGGGAGGTATTGCTAACTGAAAAAATGAAATTAAGATTCATGTCATTTCATGGAAGCTCTGTCGCTTATCGCACGGAACCTCGCGTATCACCACCATTTTTGTTCAACCTTTCAATATCTATGATCTTGAAAAGAAAAGGATTGTCAAATGTTTTCTATGCTGTATGTACGTCAATAACTGAAGTTATCTTCGTTGGAATGGGTTAGAATGAGTACATTCCTCATACATTGAAAGTGCAAAAACACAGCTGGTTCAACAAATCGTGCGCCACCGTTCGACATAAGGTCCAGGCACACCGAACCTTCTTGATAAAACCACTGAGAACATATAAGCCGATGTCGAGTCTATAAACTAATATAACGAAGCTGTTTGCAATGCAAAAGACTAGCACGATGCAAAAACTAAGCACATTGAATGTCATAGCGCAATTCCATTCGGGCCTTCTGGGCAGTGGCCAACCCGTCAGAAGAGAGCTTCTCGAAGGGTAGCCTTGCACCCCTCACATGCCAGAATTGAACTTTAGTAACCGACTCTAAAGGTAACGTGGAAGTTTTTGACAAGATCTTTGCTACTAACTTCACTAAGGACGTCTCTCCCAACGCCAGAGTGTCTTCGATTCCCAGGGTTGCCCACACTATGCGGGAAGTAACCTTCAGGTATAGGATCGTCAAACTTTTTATTTTGCGACATACACAATTCTGCTGATCCTGCCTTGATTCCTGCTATATACTGAAGAGATGTGCAGAGGAGCTTGATCCAGTCCTTTCACGTCACTTTTAGATATCTTATGAATCATACTGAATTGGAAGTTTGATCTTGTTCAGCCCATCGCAAAATAGGATCTCAGATTGACCCTTACAACTAGAGACCTAGAGTATTGCTTTCTATGGTCAGCAAAGTGATGAAGAAGAGCTTCTGGAGTATATCGAGAATCATGGTATCTCTTTGAATATGGTCGGATGCGCGCGCACTGACTTTGTCAAAAAAAGGCACTCCACGCCAGTAGTAGCGTGCGATATTTTGGTGCCTTCTTCCTTTATTGGTACCATACTAGGCGACAGGCACCAACGATCAACAGGGCTTGCTCGTACATCACATAACTGTGGAGTAAGCTTATCGAGTTATATGGTGATATTCATATCGTTGCTCTTGATTCTACGAACGCTTTCGATCAGCTGTGGCAAATCGTCCTCTTATGCAAACTTCTATCCTATGGCTTTCCAGAAAAGCTTTGCAGATGGGTGGCTGAGTGACTCTCCCATGTTAACGCGAGTGTTCCGCAGAGATCGGTCTTGGCTCCAACACTTATAAGAACGCTCTACACAGACATTAGGAATGCCAACCTGATCTCTGCCCATGAGAAGGCTAGTAGCGACTTCCTCATTTACGGGAGATCTTATTGGAGACGCAACAATCTAGAACAGTTTGTTGCTTCCAAAACAGTACTGTACTCGATGGATGCTCGAGTTCTACCAAGAAGCCATTATCTACGCCTGGTCGGAATCATCGAGGACTTCATTTGACACAAACACATCGCGTCAGTCGCAACAGCTGCTGTTAATAAGTTGGCTTATTTGTGTAAGGCTAAGATGTGCATACAATACATAGGCTCCTCACTCTGTATAAAGCCCAGATAAGATCTATGCTCGAGAAGTCGAGGATATTTAGAAGAGGGATGTCCGACTTATCAATGATACTTCTCTAATGGATAGTCTTGGGACCCTTTCGCACCAATGGGCAATCGGCGATCCACCATGGTGCCCCCGCGCGTTGAGTTATCT